TCTCAGCATTCAGCCTAGCTTTCCCTGCCTACCTAAGTTCTGCCTTGCTATAGGTCCAGAGCAGTTTCTTTATTCATTAATGGTAATTACAGCACACGGAGGGGACTCCCACATCAGAGATCTTGAGTATTTTCAGATTTGGGTTTTCTCCAGAGAGGACAAAAAATTAAAACAGAAGAGAGAAGTTAAATTCTGTGATGATGGCAAGAAATACCCATTTTTTCCTGTTACTAGTATTATTTTTAATGCTTAAAAATTTGAATGCCAGCTGTGAGTTTGTGGGGTTTTTTTTCCTCTGTGCCTCCTCCATTTCCACCTTTAGGGCTGTGTTTACCTATTGACAAACCCTCACAGTGTTTGCCCATTACTAATTTCAGCCAGAAGCTTCAGCTGTGGGTTCATACCCAGGACACTACTGTGGTTTGGAGGAGCCCCACCCCTCCCACAAAGGACTGTGTGTCAAGCCTAAGGCCCCAAGTCCAGTGTTGTAGGTGCTTTAGAACTCTAAGACTTAGTAAAAGGTCCTTAAGTCACTGGGGTGACTTTTCTGACCTCAGCCTATCTAAATCATTTTGTTTCCTGGTTCCTATCTTGAGCAGCTTACTCTGCCATGTACATATAAAATGTTCACTCGCTAGAGGAAAAAAAAAAGCATGAGGGGCCAGCAAGTTAATGACTCCTAAACATCCTTGCCTCTTTAGAAAACGATAAAGTGAGAACTAAGCCTATTGTCATTTATGGAAAATCTATTAAGTAATCCCCAATACTGTTTTAGCTGTCAGATGAGTGTATATACATTTATGAACATGTTTGAAAGACTTTAGAAAAAGAAAAGAAGCTCATTGTCTCTGGTATTTTTTATGTAAACCTAGCTAACATAGATATCATATAGCTGATACTTATAGCTTACTTTTTAAATTTTTAAAAACCTCCATGTTTTGAAGAGGCTCAGTTTTTCTTTCTGTGTGTGTGTGTGCGTGCGCGCGCGTGTGAGCAAGAGCACACGCATATGTGTGAATGTGTATGTATGTATGTATGTATTTGGTTCTACACAAACGTTTCTATAAAATGTCATTTTTCTAAGAAGCAGCAATATCTTTTTTGGATATTATTACTCCTTTGGAAGCCAGTGATTTGTGTCGAAGGCAGCTCTGTCTATATTATTTACCCTGAATGGAATGAGATTGACTAGAAGTTCTGCCTCCAAGGAAATAGCAAAGCTCTGATTCATACTCATTTGTAGTTTCCAAGTTAATTCTCTTATCAGATTTCCTTTTATTTCCTGCTGGGGCAATGTGAGCGAGATTGGATGGAGGCAAAATATCTGCTGTATATCCTTTCAAATTTATGATTAAGAAGGTCACATATACATTTTTAAACAGACTCCTTTTTGATAATGAATGAAGAATAAAATTTTGAAATGTCATCAGCCACAAAATTATTCGTTTTTCTTTTCACTGGTGTTCTCTTTGCCAGTTGATTGTCTGCTGATGACGAGAGAGGGCCAGGCTTAACCAAGCTGTATTTCTTGTCTTTCTTCTGACAACCTGGAGTAATTTCAATAGTGCACCATCTCTGCCTGTGACCAAACCATTAACGACCCCAAACAATTCTTTCCTTGAGTGCAATTCCTTCCCCAGGCCAGTTTTTAAGAACAAATAAATGAAGAATTCCACTTTAGGCTACATTGATCTTCAAATTATGGCCAAATGAGGACTCTAAAAGCTATTCTCTTCTCTGTTCAGATTCCTCGTGTCTTTTTCTCTGCCACGCTTTCTACTGCTGGACTGTGCTCTGCAGGGACTCCATCAGAGGGGTCCTGTGACACTTGCAGCTTTTAATTAGGTTCAGTTAATGAGAACTGCTATAGGAAGTCAGAGGATGGGGGAAGGGGAATTGGAGTATTGTGGCCTATAATAATAAATATATATTTTGATAAATAAATCTTGCCTACAGACCAGTGGTAAAGCTAAAGCCAATAGAGATCAGGCAATGGTGACACAAACCTTTAATCCCAGGATTTGGGAGACAGAGGCAGATGGAGCCTGTGAGTTCAAGGCTACCCTGGGCTACAGATATCAATGCAGAAATAAATCCAGGTAGTGGTGGCTCACACCTTTAATCCCAGTCCTAGGGAGTCACACGCCTTTAATGTCAGCACTAGAGGGAATATAAACAAGAGAAGAGAGAGGGTTAGTCTGCTTAGTTTTGTAGTCATCCAGCCTTGGTGGAGGTAAGGCTTCTCTAGTGGCTTGGCTGCTTTGCTTATCTGGCTTTTGGGTTGAACCCCAATTTCTGTCTCTGGGATTTTATTATTTGTGCTTCAGTGGCCAATGATTTCCTCTGTGTGCCCATCTAGATCTGACCAGGTCCTCTCTGTGTGCTCATCTAGCACTGACCAGATCGTACAAGAGAAAAGTTCTACCCACCCAACTTTCTCTTTTCAACTCTCTCCTTAGAGGTTCTGATTATGGCTTCCTCTGATTATCCCTCTGGGCTCCTAGATGGGAAACAAGGTCTTGTCTCAATGCTATATCATCTTGCTGCCCCTATGACCTTTTTAATAGCCCTTTCATAAATAAATGTAAATGGAGACTGCTCTTTCGTTCCCAGCCACACAGACCTCAATAATGACACAGAAACTGTATTAATTGCAATACTATTTGGCCTGTTAACTCAGGATTCTTATTAACTAACTCTTACATTTTAAATTAACGCATCACTATCAATCTGTGTATCATCACAAGGCTGTGACCTACCATAAAGGTTCCAGTGTGTCCTCCATCAGCAGCTATATGCCATCTGCCTCCTTCAGCAACTACAAGGCATCTCTTTGACTCCACCTACTCTCTTTATATATATTTTTAGCATGACTGTATCCTGACTTGCCATAGACCAAAGCAGCTTCTTTATTAACCAATGGCAATAAAACATACTCACAGCATACAGAGGGGAATCCCACATCAAATAAAGACTTCTGAAATTATATTCTCTTAAAGGTACCATCTGTCATTCTATGTAGTCTGCACTTACACATTAGACCCGTGTTTTCATGAGGAAGCTGTCAGTTGGGAGTTGGACACAGATAAACTTTTCTAACATACTTTTCTATCCAGATTTACCCTTTTCTTTAGTGCTTCTTGTGACAAGGAGATCATTAACTCTTGACATGACCTATCCAATATTAGGAACATTGTTCCTATGTTACATTTAAAAATTAACCTCTTTAGGATGTCTATTCTTTCTTCACTGAAACAAGAATAGTAAAGACTAAGGTTCAAGCCAAGTTCTGTGAGGACTGGAGCAATAGACCCAGAAAAATTTATCCTAAAAATATATATTTAGCCCATAGGTTTGCATCTCATAGGAACATGACAATATATTTAGATGTATGTGTAAACCTGGAGGACCACATGCAAGAAGGGTCATCATATTTTTATCATTTATGAAATACCTAAGCCCTGTTGAAGGCGTAAGTCACAAACAATGCCACACCAGTTTGGAATTATGATTAATAGGGTGGTATTTATTTAAAGGGGAAAAAAACTTACAGATCACTGTCCCAGACAACAGCCCTCTGCACAACCACGAAGGGAGTCTAGTCGCCAGCGGAGCAGGAAGTGAAGAGAGAGAGGAGAGGGAAGTGGTCACTTTTTTAAAGGGAGAGAGACCATGCCCCAATGGGCTGGTATCTCAGCGGCTATAGGCTGGAGGAGCGGAAGGACCTCCCGCAACACCCCATCAGTTGAAATTTAAGTGAAATAATTTTTTAATCCATAAGGGAAGAAGCCTTTGACCTTTTCATTCCCCAGTGAGGAATCAAAGTTGCTGTGACTTGATATAATTCAAAAACAGAATCCCACTGTGAGACTGCTGAGGAGGGTGCAGAGACATTAGAATATGGGTGGCTGAGTCAGCAAAGATTTAAAAGCAACCCCCATGTGTTTATTGTCCCCTAAGTGCTAGACACTGTTCTCTGTATATTGTATGTGCTACCTCATTGAATCTGTGTGACTATGAGTTTCATCCCGCTATTTGGTGCAATGCATAGACAAGTTCAGCATAGACAGTGATGAATAAACCTGCCCCAGGCAGCAGAGGTAGACTATACACACATGCACATGTCTGCTTAGAGTCAAAGGAGGTGTAGCCTCAGTGGTTGGTGTCAGGACAACTAGGGGATGTTGGTGGCTATCTACCGGTCCTGCATCTCAACTTCTGGGTGCTGTCTTACATCTTTAGGTGATTCGGATTCACACCAAACTTTAAGAAATGCTTCTCTACAGTATTGCTATTAGAAATGTCTCTCTGGTTCTCTGGGACTGCTGCTTCTCTAAGAATGTTTATGAATCAAGCCCAACTTTGACTTTTCTTTCTTTGAGCTAAAAGACTAACCTTCACTCTCACTAACCACCAACCCCACTTCAGTCTGCGGCTGTGTGGTGAATTCTTTCATTAGTCAGTCACTGAGGAAGGCCATACTGTGTCTCTTATGAACTAGCTAAGCCCGATCAGTTGAAATTCAAGTCAACTACATCTTTAAGTCCATAAAGAAGCCTTTGACCTTTTAGTTCCCCAGGGAGGAATAAAAATCTCAGTTGCTTGGTGTAATTCAAAGAGAGATAGAATTCCACAGTGGGACTTTTGGAGGGGGAGGGTGTTTAGAGGAAAGAAAACAGAGGGGCTAGTCTGAACTTTCTTCCCAACAAAAAGAAAGTGGGGGAAGCGTCATCATAGAGACTCATTGATTTCTCATTATGAGCTCAAATATATATCATGCTCATTGTTACGGATAAAACAACTATTAAATGAAAATGATTTCGAGTTTCAGGAAGGCTGTGTTTACTTGACCCTGACATTGGAGAGCCTGCCTTGCCTCTACTTATGTTGAATGAACTAAATATGGTGTTGAGAATGGGGGATGGGGAAAGAGAACAGCCTACCTTCCCAGTCCTCTAATGCAACTAGAATCATCTGACTGTGATTTTTCCCTTGCACATGTCCCAAAGGAAGCTGGCTAAGAAGCAGAAGGAGACACAGAGCGGAGCCCAGAGGGAGATGGGCCCCGTGGCCTCAGCTGACAAGCCCACCACCAAGCTCAGCACCAACCGCAATGATGAAGGCTTCTCCTCCAGTTCTCAGGATGTTAATGGATTCAGTAAGTCAAGTCATATAAGGTGAATGGAGTATCAGTGGTCACTTTTGGTCCTGGTGCCTCTCCTGTGTACCACTCATAATGACTAAGTCCAGTAAACTGTGGGATCAGAATGCTTTTCTGGGATATCAGAGAGGAAAGGTCTTCTCCTTGACAAAGCTTTGGAGTAGCCCAATCTGATGTAAAAAAAGAATATGGGACCAGGGAGGGGGTTCAGCCAACATGCCACATGAGCATGAAGTTTGGATCCCCAGTACCCAAAGAAAATGTTCTGGATGGCATGTGCCAATAAGCTCAACACTGGGGAGATGGAGACAGAAGGACTCTCTTGGGCTTGCTGGATAGCCAGTCTAGCCAAATCAGTGAGTTCCAAGTTCAGTGAGAAACCCTGCCTCGAGAAAGAAGGTAGGGAGTGATTGGAGTAGTTACGAGATACCAACAAGCTATATACACAAGCACACACATGCAAATACGTGTAAGTGTACTCATACACATAAACCACATATCCAAAAAAAAAGAGAAAAAGACAGAATCTATGCCTAAGCAGATGGAATGGGAACAAGTTATCTTAGAGACAGGTAGTTAAAAATAATAATAGTGACAAAGAAGGAGGAGGATTGTGACCTTAAGGCAAAAAGCATACTATACTGAATTTAGTAGCTGACAATTTTTAAAACTATTTCACATTTACTTTGTAAGGTAGATGAGTCATGGAATGTTTCTCTCTGTGTCCCTAATATTTAAGAAACAATCTCTAAACTCTCAAGGCTGTTGAATTCCATGTACCTACTGGAAGCTGTGCTTCCTGAGTCCTAGATGGTTCTATTAGGTCAAGACTATCTTCATCTTTATGCAGAATTATTAAGGCATCCTTGGCTAATATAAGTAGTTTAGGTTCCACAGTTGACTCATCCAAAGGAGGACTCCGAGGCTGGGTAGTTATAAGCCGAGTTTGGTAGCCAGGCTTGAAAAAGCTGCCTTTTGTTCTGATCTTTCAACCATGCTATAAGCTAGTTCTTTTCTGGATTTAATAATACGATAATAATTTTCACTATATATCTCATACATTATAGATAAAAGGAGCCACATTTTGTAATGGTCACTTTAGATATGGTCTGTCTGGAAGATGTGGAGTGATGAAAACATGAAAGAATAAAGGAAACCTATATATATATATATATATATATATATATATATATATATATATATATCACACCATCTTTGATGCAGACACTCTCGCTTCATTTCCTCCATAATCCTACAAGATACTTAGTGTTGCAGATCCTATTTCATTGGTAAGATATGTTTGTCTCAGTTTCCCAATGCTATACAGATCATTTCTCATGGTATGAAGCAAAAAAACTTGGAAGGTATTCCAAACAAAATCTCCTTGTGAATGAGACACAGGGCAGATACTCAAGGCTGTGGATTTTATGCCATCATCCAGGTAGTTCTTAGAGACACCCTTTAGGAACACAGCCTCAAGGAAGGCAATTATGATTTTTAAATTTAGGTGTGCTGCCTTTGGGGGGAAAGGTTAGTCTAAACCTACCCTCCCCCAAAAAAGGCTGAGGGAAAAGGGATACTCAAATTCTTTACCCGCATTCACCAACTGGTCACATTTTTCAATATTGGCATCTGGTTGCACTTTCTCTCACTAAACCCAATCTTCTGAGATAATTAGAAATAAAGTTGAAGTTTTTGGAACATTCTACCTGTAGAGATTTGGGTATGTGGATTCCTAGGATGTAAAACAGCTCTTCAACACACCTCAATAAAATTAATCTTCATTAAAGAGTGTGGCTTGATCCAATGATATCAAAGATGTTCATCTGCAATGTAAAGATCTCTTGTATCCCCAGAACATTCTGCTTCCTTCACTGTAGATCAGGATCCAGACAAGGAGCATGTATTCCATTTGGTTTGTTCTCTCTGTCAGCCTTCCCTTAGTCCCATGACTTTATTTTCTTGGGAATCTGACATTTTCCAAAGTCTGATGTGGTAGTTCCATAAAATGGTCTCCATGCCGGAGCTCTCTGATTTATTATCAGATTCCATTTAGACTAATCCTATTGGGAAAAGATGGTGGCATTGTTTACTGCTCTAAACTTTATCAATAGCCACATGATTTCACTCTGCCCCATTGACAATGCCAAGTTTGAAGCCTCTTAAAGTTGGATAATGGCTTTTACAATAAAAATCTAAAAATATACTGATGCTCTTACCAACAGATATTTAATTTTTGTTTCTTCTTAGCGATAAGAGGAAATCTGTGATCTGCTTCATCCTGCACACAGTTCTTTCCTCCCTTAATCTGGGTGAATTGCCTAGATCACGTATTTCCTGGAGATTCAGAAAGAGTGGGCAGACAGAGAATTAGAAAGGCACAGAGGAACTGCCTAGGAAATAGACGTAGCACATCCTTGAAGAAAGGTTGATCCTGAGTTGTCTCTGGCCCTTCTTCTTTGAGCATTGCAAGTTTTTCTTGAAATTGGCCCTAGTGGTACTTACCCAGACCAAAAATCTCCTGTATAGCCCAGCCTTATGTGCACACTTATTTTCTTGTTATAAAAGCATCCTGGAAAGGCATCAGATGCCAAAAGCTTATGGTCCAAGAAGCTTGACAATCACTGTGACCCTGAAATTGCAGGTATTTAATCTCAAGCTTGTTAGTCACATGGAAAAACAACGTAGGTCACACTGATTTCTTGGATTTCAAAGAGATATATCACCGCTGTTTGCACTGTGGATGAAAAGTTAGATCTTCAAGATAAAAATACTGAAGACTGGGTGTATTCTTCACTAAAGAGAAAGGGGAAGAACATTCAGTTGAAATCTGATGAGGCATTTTAAAGATCGAGGATAGTCTTCCCAAACAATTCAGTGTGTGTGGTGTCCATATTCTATATTTGAATGCACATACATATATAAAGCCATGTGTGCTCCTATGTACCTTTGTATACATCTTTAGTTTAATGATATTCCTTTTTAAAAGATAGAAAAAAAACAACTTTCAACTGACTGGTTATATTCAATTATTATGAAATCTTGCATTTGTTATAATCACTGAATATTTTAGATTCTTTCTAGACATCTAGCATGCAGGGCTGCAGCTGTAAACACACTCTGGAGATTTTTTTTATTTTTCTGAATGCCCTAAAATGCATCAGGTAACTTTTAAAATGCCCTCTGGAACCACTGGGATGAGATTTGAAGGGGAAAATGTAAGTAATGCTTACACTGGAGATGTAGAAATTGCTTCTAAAATCACCCTGATGTATGTAAAATTGAATCTATTTTCGTGACATTAGGGAAGTGGCTGTCTGGCTTCTGAATCGGCGTCTTTAAGAGCGACTGAGATTATGTGCAAAATTTTGAGGCAGCATTGAGAGAGGGAGGACAGGAGAACGGTTATTATGTTGTGTAAGATTGTAGAAGGACATGCTTTGGGCAATTATTTCATTATTGAGCAGGTGGGCCCTAGCTTTATTCAAATTCTGCGTCATCCTGCGTTTTCTGGCCTTATCTATTACCAGTGACTGCTACTTTTGGCAACATCTATTCAGTCAAGCCTGAACAATGACCTCTGGGACAGCAGGGTGACAGGGCTCTGCCAGATAGGGGCTGCTGTTTTGAGTGCTTAGGCATTCTTTTAAAAGCAGTGCATGGAACATTTCAAGGACAAACAATGCACATTGTTTTCCATTTAAAGAAAAGCTGGCTTTTATTAGGTAATCTGATTGTGATCTTGGCTGCCTTGAGTACTTGTAATTTTTTTTCCTGTGATCTTTAGCTCCCTGGGATTGTTTTCTGGGGCTTTCTTCAAGTACCTGCCTTATATATCATGCTTACATCTGCCTCATCTCGTGTATTTGCATGCCTTCTCCTGGCTCATTTTCAGACTAAAGAAAAAGCTTCAAAACAAATCAGAGTTGTATCCCTCTAATGCGGGAGCTTAGCCGTTCACCTTTCTCATAGTGCGTTTGGGCATCCTTGTTCACTGGCTACCACTGACTACACCCCCATGGAGCTAGAGTTACAGGAAATTGTGAACCACCTGATGTGAACACTGAGAACCAAACCCAGGTCCTTTGGAAGAGGAGCAAGCAAGAGCTTTTAACCACTGAGCCATCTCTTCAGATTCCAGATAAATATTTCTATTGGTGCAACACATTTCAACAGTAAACCCTTATTTCCATGTCATAGATAATATAGGTTTTCTATGTCATCTATTCTTCATATGGGGAAACTGAGGTATGGAGTACATGTTCTTTGACAGGTCATAATCAGGACACATTTTTCTTGGATCAGCTATAGCCTATCCACCCAGTTCTACCAAGAATTTAGGGAAATACCCAACAAGAGCACCCTTGATAAAAACAATATTTAAAAAATAAGATTAAAAAATTATAAATAAAAAGAATAAAGTCAAGTCAATGAAACATTATCATATAATTATTGAATCTAAATATGCAGGCTAGATCATATTAAAATCACCAGACATTAGACCATTAAATGCCCTGCTAAGTCAGGAGCAAGCTGAGAAAAGTAGTTATAAATTAGGAACACACCTCACGAATAAATATTTTTCAAAATGTACTTATCGTAATATTTTTTATTTGTGTATGTAGATGTGTTTGTGTGTTACTAGCTTTTAAATAGCGATCTGTCTCTTGACTTCCTGGTAGCAAACACTCGAAGAAGGTAATTTGGAGGAGTACCTACTAAGCACTGAATCTTTTGTTTTTTTGTAAATTATTGTCAAACCTCCTCAGAAGTATGTGATTTCTATATTACCTTCACTCTGAAAATGAGGACACCAGGTTTGGAGCAGCTAAAGTAAACAAGCCCAAAGTCACAGAGCACAGAAATAGTAGATTTAAGATTAGGAGCCAAATAGGGTTACCCACCCTCAAACCAGAGTCATTCATTGTAGCTTAGCAATTGCCAGCTCCATTGAGTGAGCTTTTTGGTACTGGCAGAGACAGACAGTGCTATTTCCC